TACGGTATTTTTCTTTTTCTTTCTGGCTTATTTCGCTGAGCATGATCCCTTCAAGCTCCATCCATGTTGCTGCAAATTGCATGTGTTTTATCTATTTTGAATGCTGAGTAATATTCCATGGTGTATATGGACCACATCTTCTTGATCCAGTCATCTGTTTTTGGGCATTTGGGTTGTTTCCAAAGCCTAGCTATTGTAAACAGTGCTGCTATAAACATAGGGGTGCAGGTGTTCTTTGGAATTGATGTTTCTGTGTCCTTTGGGTAAATACCTAGGAGTGGAATTGCTGGTTCATATGGAAGCTCTATGTTTAGTAGGTCCAGAAATCTCCACACAGCTCTCCATAGTGGCTGGACCAGTTTGCACTCCCACCAGTAGTGCAGGAGAGTTCCTTTTTCTCCACAACCTCGCCAACATTTGTTGTTGCTAGTTTTTTTAATATGTGCCATTCTCACTGGTCTAAGATGGTATCTCATTGTAGTTTTGATTTGCATTTCCCTGATGACAAGTGATGTTGAACATTTTTTCATATGCCTGTTGGCCATTTGCACTTCTTCTTTAGAGAAGTTTCTATTTAGCTCTTCTGCCCATTTTTTGACTGGATTATTTTCTTTGTTTTTGTTGAGTCTCATCAGCTCTTTGTAGATTTTTGTGATCAGTCCTTTATCATTAGTGTTGTATGCAAAAATGTTCTCCCAGTCGGTGGGGTTTCTCTTTGTTTTTGTTATTGTCTCTTCTGCTGTGCAGAAGCTCTTTAATTTGATGTAGTCCCAGCTGTTTATCTTTGCCTTCACTATCACTGCTTTGGGTGATGTGTCTGTAAAGATGTCTTTGATGTGCATATCATGTAGTGTTTTGCCTATATTTCCTTCTATATATTTTATGGTTTCAGGTCTTATGTCTAGTTCTTTAATCCATTTTGAGTTGGTTTTTGTGTATGGTGTGAGGTAGTAGTCAAGCTTCATTCTCTTGCATGCAGCGACCCAGTTTTCCCAGCACCATTTATTGAACAAACTTTCTTTGCTCCAATGCATATTCTTTGCTCCTTTGTCAAAGATTAGTTGACCATTAATCTGTGGGCTTATTTCTGGATTTTCTATTCTATTCCATTGGTCTGTGTGTCTGTTCTTGTTCCAAATACCATGCAGTTTTGATGATTATGGCCTTGTAGCATAGTTTGAAGTCTGGGAGTGTGATACCTCCATTCCCTTTTTTTTTTTTTTCATGAGAGCTTTGGCTATTCAGGGTTTTTGGTGATTCCATATGAATTTCTTTGAAGAATGTTCTATTTCTTTGAAGAATGACATTGAAATTTTTATTGGAATAACATTGAATCTGTATATTGCTTTTGGTAGGATGGCCATTTTAATAATGTTTATTTTTCCAATCCATGAGCAGGGGATGTCTTTCCATTTCTTTGTGTCTTCTTCTATTTCTTTTAACAGTGTTTTATAGTTTTCTTTGTATAGGTCCTTTACCTCTTTTGTTAGATTTATTCCCAAGTATTTGATTTTTTTTTGCTTTGATAATAAAAAGGATGGTTTTTTTAATTTCTTCTTCCAATTTATTGTTTGTGTATAGGAAGGCTAATGATTTTTGTGTGTTGATTTTTTATCCTGCCACTTTACTGAACTGATTGATTAGTTGAATTAGTTTTTCTGTGGAGTTTTTGGAAAACTGAATAATTTTGTGGGGCAAAAATATATGTGTAAGAGGAAAGGGGAGAGAACCATCAGATAGCAATGCAAATCTGATCACCCAAAGGCAGGTAGAAGCATCTTTGATGCTATGCAAGACAAGGAAGGTTTAGTCAGAATGTCAGAGTATCTTCAAACCAAAGTTGGCCACATGAAGGATTCTGCATTTTTCAGGAACAGACCTGCCATGTTCAGTCACTGATGAGGAACAATCTGTTGAAAGTCTGACATTGGCATAAATGTGGTGATGGATTTCAGTGTGTAGTTGGGGTCTTTGGTCAATTAATCTCCACATATTATAGTAGAAGATCTATGAGTCAAATTTTCCAGGCTGCCAGATGTGTCTTTTATAGTCCCATTTTAGGACAATGGGACTACAAAAGATAGAAATGAACTGTAGATAGATATTTAGATTCAAGGCAAGATTGCGTGTTTGTACTTTGAATGAGAAAAGTTTATGTATGTTTCTAAACATGGAAAATGGAGTCTGCAAGATGGGAGAAGTTAGAGATGAAGAAGAGGTAAGGAAGGAAGGAAGGATGAGAAAGAAGAATGTGAGGGATGAGAAAGGGAGAAAGTGGGGGGAGAGAAAGATTAGGGGGAAATGAATAATTGTAGTAGGATAACAATGCAGTTTTGAATCTGAGGAATGACATTTTATTCTCTGAAATAGTGTCTTGATTGAATTACGGTTGAATGTTGTAGGAAGTTGAAGGGACTTGAACTTGGTTATCTCAAGTTCCCCTAAAAAGTAGGAAGTGAAGTTTTAGGGACAGGGGTGAAGGGTTTGGTCTTGAACAGGAAGTATCCTATCCTATGAGACTGAAGCAAAAAGATGGGAATCACAACATCCCTTATAATCAGGGAAATGCAAATTAAAACCACCTTACACTAGTAAGAATGGCACATATCCAAAAAACAAGCAACAACAAATGTTGGCAAGGATGTGGAGAAAAATGAACTCTCCTACATTGCTCATGGGAGTGCAAACTGGTCCAACCACTATGGAAAGCTGTGTGGAGTTTCCTTAGTCTACTAAAAATGGAGCTACCATAGGACCCGGCAATTCCACTGCTAGGGATCTATGCAAAGGACACAAAAACATTGATTCAAAAGAACACCTGTACCCCTATGTTTATTGCAGCTCTATTTACAATAGGTAAAACCTGGAAACAACCCAAATGCCCAAAAATAGATAACTGGATCAAGAAGATGTGGCATATATACACAATGGAATATTATTCAGCCATCAAAAAAGATAAACTCATGCCATTTGCAGCAACATGGATGGAACAAGAAGGATTTATGAACAGTGAAATAAGCCAGAAGGAAAAAAGAAAAATATCAGATGGTTTCACTTATAGCAGGAATATAGGGGAACCAAATAAGACATCAGTGTAAAAAAATAATAACAGTACAAAACACAACAAAGCAAAAACGAACTATTATAAACCAGAGACATCCTGCAGGGGAGGAGGAGGGAGAGGGATCAGAGGGAGGGAGGGAGGAGCACAGGGGACTGAGGTGATGGTGCATGGGTGCCTTGGGGAAGGAAACTCTATGGGGACTACACCTGAGGGGGTGGGGGGAAGAAAATATTGTTTAAAAATGAACAATAATGTAAAAAAATATAAAAAATTAATATAAAAAAAAGATGGGAATCAAAGGAAACCTTTTGTAGAAATGGGATCAAGTTACAGGAGAAAATGACAGATGCCTCAAAATTTTTTAGTATGTGATGAAGTAGAAGGCAAAGTTACCTGCTGAAGGTATTATTTATTTGTCAATCTTCTCATATGATAAAATTCCACACAGAAATTGTAACAGAAATAATATTTGGTATAATAAAGTCGATAGTTCAAATATATCTTTTATATTGAGGTAATTATCTATTACATGAATCTTTCATAAGCATGTGTATGTTTCTTGGTGTATAAACCAAAACTTTAAAATAGTCTCTTGATCTAATTTGGAATTTAAAAACTGACATTGCATTGAATTTATGCCATTCTTAATTTAAAAAATTACTGGAAATATACTGTCAGGGTATTATGTGTATTCGCTTCCAAATTAACAAACAGACCAAAAAAAGCACTTTTGGATATTGTAATTTCATCTAAAATTAAAATAAATTCATCACATAAGGATATACTGCTTATCCTATCAGAAAATAAAACTAAAAGTATTTCATATTTAAAGGGATCCTTGAGATCAGTAGCTTCTAATCTGGAGATCTCAGACTCCAAGAATCTATTGGACAGCAAAAGTTGATGATCTGTATTCAAATTTCAGTGCACCTACCTATTTGAAATTCTACTTCACCCTTATGAAGGTTCTGGGTTCCTTTGCAATTATTTTAATTCATTGGCACCAATTTCAGATGCTCCAGTAAGCTTTTGCAGTATTAAAACATAGACAATGCATCAATCATTATTAAATCAAAGAATATAAAAGCTTCTGAAACATGAACTTACTTTGGGGAGGTAGGTTACAGATGTTTGAGATAATTGTTAGTGAAAAAGTTGAAAAAAACTGACTTAATCCAATCCTGTAATTTATACATGAGAAAATTGAGAGGGTGAAAAATTTACCCAAATATCACATAATGGATTCATGACTAACAAATCTAGCATTAGGATTTGTTCATTTTGTACTTTGGAAACTATGAAAAAATTACCCATCTTGCTATTTTTTCTGGTGTTATGGTTTTGCATTTTGTATCATTGTGTGTGACAATTTTTCAGATTTTATTTTGGGATTGTGCTGGGAATGAGTATATATCAAGAAGGAACTGCCTAGTCCATATACTAGGGTTTATTGATTTGTATTCCCTCTGCTGATCAACTTTCCAGCAAAGTGATTAAAAAAAGCTTTTTAGCTGCAATTGAAAACAAACCCAAAACCTTTTAAAAAAAAAGTTTTCATAGTGATGATGTGTCATAAAAGGCTAGTTAATTTTCAAGTACATTTGTCATAATTTTAGGGTAGTCCTCATTCCTTTCTGCTCTGTTACAACAGTATTTAAACAGAGCACAGAGTTAAATGGTTAGTGAATCAATCTGCAAAACAAAAATATTTTAGAGTCTTCTACAATTTTTAATCTCAAGTGTGCATACTAAATGCACACATCCTTTATCAAGTAATTAACACATTCACAATTAACAAATAGGGACAAACTACGAAAAAGTTCTGCTATCATTATACTTTACAAAAACATTTATGTCACCATTAGAGAAAATGATTCTGACATTTTAAAGATAGAAAATTTGAATAGAGAATACAAGATACTATGATAAGTAGGAAGGCAAACAAAAGTTTCCTTTCTTATACTTTATTTTTATTCCTTACATTTCTTTAGACAACATAGTCATTTTTTCTTAATTTTTTTTTAGGAGGAACTGTGCTTCGATGGTCTGAAAGAAGCTCTTCTATAATTGAGGTTGAGGCAGAAATGGGATTTTAATAATTCTTATATCTCATGGGTTCTGTCTGAGATATTGAATAAGCAGATAATTTTCTAAAACCAAAACTTCAAAACTTTATAATCAACATTTATAATATAGGTAAGGAATAGTTTGTACATCCATATTCTATGATACTCAACAGCATGTCAACTGAAACCTGCATTTCATATTGGAATTAAATGAACATAATAAAATGACCAAAGTGGAGAGTTAGTCATTGTCATAGATGCAACCTGAAAGGAAAAAAATACAAATTTTAAAGTAGTTATATAAACATATAGTCTCTAAGTGATACAAACTGGAACTTCATGAAAAACTAATTAAATGGAAGACTATATATTTATTAATCTTTTATTGCTTACTATACAATCCAAGTTATGTTTCTGGACAGATTTAGCCTCTATGAAGATGAGACTCAAGATTACTATTTTTTAACCTAATACTTAATTAAATGTAGTTTTTGGTAATCATTCTAAATATCACTAAGAATTATTCATTTAAAAGGGGATATATTAATACTACAGTTCATTTTAGCCTACTTTAAGTTTTTAGATCACAACATAAAATGTATGATACTTAGAGTATATGAATGAATATTGTATCTTAAGGAATAAGCACCTATTTTGGGGCCAAGTACACATATTTTTATGGATCAAAGCAATTCTTAGCAAGATTCATAGTATAATGAAAAATTCACCAAAATATTACCATACTTCAGTTTTTAAAGAAAATAAATTAGGGATTCTTTCTTGATATCTACTCATAAGAAAAATATTTCTTTCTTCACTATAACAGGACATTTACCTCTCCTAATATTTCTAAGAAATTCAAATTCTGACTATATTAGAAGACTCTACTTAACCCAACAGCTGTAAGAACAGTAAATTTACTATTACTATTATCTATTATGAATGACATATAAGACAGTTTTTCCTTTTTTGGGGGTGGGGGGATGAACAAATTTTATTTTATCTTTCAAGGTATGAGACCCAGGTGATATGAGACTTACCATCAGCAATATCATCATAGATCTCTCCATCACTGAAAATGAGAAATGATTTTCACTTTAGAGAAAATGCCTCCTTAACATGAAAACATCTAAACATGAAAACATCTAAATATCTAAAAATATTTAGATCAAAAGGTTAATAATATGATGATATATGACACAAAGCAATTAAGGGTGAGATGTTACAAGCTATACATTTAAAGTGGGGAGAAATTTCATATTTATTTTTAGCTTCTTTCATTGGCTTAATCTATTCCTCTGTTTCATTAAAGAAAAGCCTCATAAGTTATTGTGTATATTAGACAAATAGAACGAAGAGATCCAGCTTCAAGAATAAAGTGTCTTCCTTTTTGGGGGGTGGGGGGCGGGAGGGGAGGGATTGGGGTCAGAATGGGGGGTTTGCAATTGTATGGGGGAATATAAAAATAAAATTTATTATTTAAAAAAAAAAAAAGAATAAAGTGTCTTCTACCTCTCTTTAGACGAAACAAGGGCCTAGCATGAGTCCATGTTAGATGCACTGAGCTTGTTAGATGTGGTTGTTTAACTGAACAAAATGAACAATCCTGGTGCAATACCCACTGGGGATCTTAATCCAACACTCAACACATTCTTATCTTTGTTAATATCATGTTTACATTTTCACTTGAACTTTAAATGTCAAAGGATATACAATAATATTTGGCATAGGAAATGGTGCCTCATTTTCCACATTTCTAATTATAATTTGTAAATACTGATTATAAAACATAAAAACACAACATATGTACCTAAAGTAAGGTTTGCATTGTGATTTTTAAGGTCTAAAATTCTCAAAATATTTATGGTTATAAGCAACCTCCATAATAGGCCTGGATGTTTTTATACACTATAGGTTTTACCTGGCCCTGAATCTTTGTGAAATGTCCTATTTGGCACACATACTGATCTCTCCTAGGTACCAGGAGACGTAAACATGAATAAGATACAATTAATTACTTCAAGTAGTTTATATAATCTAATAGGGAATCCAAATGACTTGCAAATAATTAAAATAGAAAGTATTGAAAATATTAACAGAGCCTTAAAATATAGGACATAGATTCAAAGTTCAGAAACGTAAGGTGGCTTAGTCACGGATCCCAGACCTGCTTTTGGTTCTTGTAGCATCTATGTGCTTCTATCATGGCAGCAGCAACAGGCCCTTTAAATTGTTGCCAACTATGACAGATGTTGTGAGTTCCCTGTGTCTTCTGTTTGGATCTGTTCTCTGAAGTTGAGGGAGAGTTTGGCTAATCAAATCTGGTACAAATGCAAAGAGGACAGATTTTCCTATCATTCAACAAGTGAACATTTATTAACTATTTACTTTAATAGGTGGTGAACTAATAATTACTTATTTAAATTTTTTTCTTCTCATCCCAAAATAATTATTGATAAGTTGTCCTATCATTTGCCACATATTCTTTCCTTGAAATTTGTCTTTTGAACAACAAAACCAATTGAAAAGTCCCAAGCCTACCACATGTGATTAAGAACTGAGTAAAAAAAGGTGTTAGGATTATTTTCCTTTTCACTCTTTACTCATTTTTTGGATAGAGCAATCAACATTTATTTGTATCTTGCTGATGGGTGCCATGTTTTTTAAAGATACAGTGTGTGAATCTTCCTGGTTTTTTTTAAGCTGCAATCTGTAAATCTTTGTGTTAGTGTATGACCCTAATTTGATTAAGGAATTCATTTCTTGCACTGGTTTATTAGGACAGAATTTTGTAACATTCTGAGGACTCCAATTACATACTAGTACTGCCAGTGACAATGTTTTAATTCATAAGAATACAAGAATCATTGACTGCTATTTTGTGTGTGTGTATGTGTGTGTGTGTGTGCATGTGTGTGTGTGTGTAGGCAGGCTCCAAAATAGAACAAGGCAACTTAATACTCTACTGTGCCTGATGTGAGTAAAGAAAAGCCCTTGGTTAGGGGTCAAACTATAAACTGTTTACAGATGATAGAAGCACCCCTTGTTTAGATACTAAATGGTCTCTGATTAATTCATTCCAACCACTGTATTAATCAGCAAGAGAAATACAGAACATTAATGAAAGTGTTAGTGGCTCTGACCTGTCTATCTCCAATATTAGTATCTGTCACCAAATAATATACAAAACTGAGAACTATATAATCATAAATGAAAAGGGCTTCTCATCTATTTATAAGAGTGAGACTATGAAAACCTTAATTTTATTATGTGTTGTGCCATATTGACATAGAATAGTGTATTGTTTTAAAATTGGTGATAGTTCAGTTGATTATTTTGTTTAAATCAGAATTAGTAATCTTTCTTAAATAAAAGCATAGAATTATTTTTATGAATATAATAGAAGAAAATATAGACTTACTTGTCCACCAAGTGACTTCGAAGGACATAACCATCTATGAAAGTAAAAGGAAATAAAATTTACAGATTTGAAAAATCTATATTATTTTAATAAATAGAAATATAATTAAATGATAAAATATATTGAATGACTGTATTTATCTCCAAAAATGACTCATTTTTCTTATGTGGACACATTATCTTTCCTTACTTTCTTCTTTTTTAATCTTTAAATTTTTTTCTTTCCCACAAGTTTCTCTCAATTTGCAACAATTTTTCTTCCCTTTTGTTGAATTAAAAATATTTTCTTCTCTAAGCTGCTGCAGCTCATTGCACAAGGTTTTACCCAATTTTAGGAAGAATTTATTAAGCATAGTTTCTCTGATTACAAAGGTGGTTTTTAGGTAAGATATTTCCTGAATCTAAGCCTAAAATTTTCAAATTTTATTATGTGTAGCAAAGTCAGGACTATGTTCAACTTTCCATGCAGATGGCAATAATCAATCTAGTGGCTATTTGGGGGAGCATATATCTCAATGATTTCAGAATAGCTCTCTTATTCAGTGTGAAAGATTTTCCACTACTGCTTTTGCCCTCTTACAGTGTTAGGCTTTTTATTTTCATCTTTCATGGAACAAAATCACTATGGAAAATACATACAAGGGATTCTAGTGGTTTCATGATTAAATAGAACATAGACCATATCTTATGCTAGAAAGCAGTGATTTTCATTTTGAGCATCTTATATTTGTCCCTTATTGCAGAAAATTCTCCTATGAATGAGTATGGATACTTCTCTTGCAAAAAATGTCTGCTGATGTCTAATTAATATTACTAAACTTTAGAATTATTAGTTTTATGTTAGCACCTAAACTCTGTTGTGTGTTTGAGACTAATATCATTTATTGCTTTGTCAATAATGCCTCTAGATCATATTTCTCACTGAGTCAACTTGTTAGTCTACTTCAGATCTAGTTTTGGTTCTAAATCAAAGTAAATGTGTAAAAATTTATAAACTAGGAAGCTCATAAGGTTAGTAAAATGAAAGTGAATTTATTCAGACATGTTGATGTCATGTTACCATTTATTTAACACAGAAATTTTCTTCAAGTTAAGATCACACAACTGAAATTATCAGATTGAAATTTAAGACAATGAAATTTGTCTTAAAATATCCCAAGGCAAAAAACTCCACCTGAATATTTTATCAAGAAATATACCAGTTTTTAATGAAAGCTGTTTATAAAAATCATATTTAGAAAAGAATCAAAATTATATTTGAATTCCTGTAGTGTAGAAGTAATGAAACATGGCAAAATGATCAAAACACTATAGTAACATTTTTACTCAATGTATGAAAAATTAGAGCTTGTATACCTTTCTTTTTATTTCAATCAAAGAAAATATGACTAATATAAGGACATTTAAAGTTAATTTCTATGATGCTTGGGTACTCTTAGGTATCACAGTTATTTTGTTCATGTGAACAGATCTTTTTTAAAAAATTAATGTATATATCATCATTTAACTTAATTTTCAAAGGAGGATAAGCTCATCTCCAACAAACTCAATTCTACATGTATATCTTGAAAGAGAAAAAATCTGTACAGACAAAAAGCTTTTATAGTAAATTGTGACTTTGTGTCATGGTTCCAATAACTAGAAGCTGTTTACTTATATTTTAAGCTAAAATGTGGACAATTTTCTGAAGGTTTGTTAAAAGTTTTTTTTCTTTAGTTAAAATGGGTGGTTCTGGTTTCATTTTGAATTTTCTCCTAAAAGAAACTGGAAAATAAAGCAATGCAATACTGTGTGTTCTTCTTATATGGTTATGTTTATATTAATGATTATAAAATAGTGACTTATATGAACTGAACCCTTTAACAATGAAGTCAATCTCATCGGGTTTCATGAAGTTTTTGAACTAAAATTAGAAGACAAAGAATGAGAGAAATGTATGAGAAATTGCAAAATGTTACCAGAGACTAGAATTATTCTAGTATCACATATATTTCTGTTAAAAAATCTGTAGATAATTAAGAGAATATAGTTCAAAATAAAGAGAATATAATCACCATTTTTAGAAATGAAAGGTTTTTGTTTTCCTGTGCTTTTAGGTAATCTACCTTTAAAAACTCAGTGATGCTAGAATTGTGTTGGCCTAGATAAACCCCTGCCTGAAATTAACACTAAAACAACCCTTTACATGACCAAGGTTAATACCTCATAACATACAGCTGAATTAGCTAAATTTATAAATTAATTGTAGAAAGCATATTTTCTTAGATTCTCAAAGTTCTAGTACATTTCCTTTTATATCTTTCCTGTTCAAGAGCTCTAAGGACAAGCTCGCTCTTCCTGAAAAAGAGAAATGCTCTGTGGTTATATTTGTGTGGGAGACATAAACATCAATGATTTTGAACATTATTTAAGAAACTATATGGAGATGGAGTGTGGGATGGTGATGTACTGCTCTATTTTAGCTTCCTGAAATGATGTGATAATTTTGGGCTCATTACCTGTAAAATTACTATTATATGGCATTTTCACAGGGTTGAGACTTTCAATGCAGCTTAAGTTTTGCTGTCTACTACCTTTAAAAATCTCTGCTAAAACTTCATTCTATTAAAAGTATGATTCATGACAGTGTCAAAACAAATGACTTACCATGAATTTTTATATAATCTCTCCATTATAGTTCCTAGAAATAATTTTTTTTGCAATAGAAACATACTCTCCTTGATCATATGTTCTATGTACACCCAACATAATGTATGTTAATGAAGCAAACAAACAAATGAAATAAACAGAAAGACTCATTATGTTCTGTGCCATGTAGAGCAGTTGCCATGTTCAGTTAACCCTATAATATTGTGGGTATTGTTATGCTAGGAATTCTCACAAATAGCATGAAATTATTACTTGGAAAAGGTCACATTCATAAAGCAGAACACAGTGGCTTGAAACAAATGTTTTTAAATATGTGGTGGGGTAGAGCCAGTTAAGAATGTAACACCCACCCCCCATATGTGCTTGTTAATTTCTTCCCAAAATATTTGTCTGCTACAGTGCAGATGTGTCCTGGGACTAATGACTCACCTTTCAGAAGGGTGTTGTGGACATAAATTACCATGGAAATGCAAAATCATCTTTGGAAAGTGGAAAATACCTTTATTGCAATGTATTCAAATTTTCACTTAATAAAAGTGATAACTTTTAAAATTTTCTTATTATTTCAGTAGTTGTGAGCATATCCAGAAATAAAGTTGAATTTACTCAATTTAGTCTCGTACAATTTCAAAAAATATCATACTTCATAGATTTACCCAGGCAAGGGCCTCCCTGGTGGCGCAAGGGATTAAGCACCCCACTATGAAGTAATACACAGACTCTGCAGCACAAGTTCAATCCCCGGCTGGCCAGGGAGAAGCCCACATGGTGAGGCAGACCTCTCCTGTCTCACCCGCTGCTCCCCTGAGCAGTGTATTTCAGTTCATCTGCATATTCTGCTCCCCACTCTGTCTCTGGTGAATCCTTTCACCCTCCCCCACCCCTGCATCTCTGGCCTGTACCCAAGCTCTTGTATGCATAAATAAATAAATCTTAAAAAAAAATCCAAGATCTACCCAGACAAGTGGAAAAATGTCCAACTTCAAAGGAAAAGATTCATAATATGAATCAAAGAAAACAATAAAATGTGGTATTAGTACCAAATATAAATTATAATGCTAGTTTAATAAAAATGTTCTTTCTCCCTCTCGCTATACTTATTTTTAGGCTGCAAGTCAAGCTTTCTACATTTCAGAATTTAAAAAAAAATTCCTCAATTGAGCAGCTGTTTGTTTTAAAATTGAAAACAAAATGTCTGAGGCAAAGAAATCATCAATTGGATTTGGGAATATCCAAAGCACTTTCACAATCCTTCTTTCTTTGATGCTCAAGGAAAATGAAGAACATTTTGGCCACAAATAACTCAGCTCCTATCTCAGAACACACATTTTGTACAAATTTTTTCTCCAGTGATAGCAGGTGGGAAAATTCACAGCTTATGAGACATTGGTTTGTAGAATAAGTGCAAATATTGAAATTCTAAACAATTGGGAAAGTGCCAGAAACATATTTGAGATCTTAATGTCTATCAATTTCAATTCCACAGTCAGTGCATGAGACTTGAACAAATGTAATAGTGCCTGTAAAAGTGGCTTAAACTCCACAGTGGGAAGGGATGATCATTAATGCTTTAACCTCTAGTTTATATCATCAAGTTAGGCTTAGTAAACTGTTTTTATTTGATAAATTAAAAAAGCAGGGGGAGTAAGGAAAATGTTAGGGCTACTATGGTGTTGGATTATAATTGCTTTTGCTGCTCATCAGAAGATGCAGAAATAAGGAACTGATAGATATAGTTTCCTGGATGATAAATAACAGGTGAACCATAAAACTAAGGATAAGAGTCAACAGACATTTTCCTGTGTATGTATGTATGTATGTATGTATGTATCTGTCTGTCATACTTTCATCTGATAAACTGACTGCAATCTCCAAATTGTTACATTTAATTCAGCAAACCCCAAACAAGGTAGTAGGTCCTACAGAATGTGTTGGCCAGCGTGTGTTGTTCTAATGAATTAGAACACTTCATTGAAGCTACTCTCAAACTCAGAATCTAATAATAGTAGATTGGACATGGGAAATAATTTGCAAATTAGAAGGGAGAAAATACACTACCTAGGTCCATAACCTACTAATTACCCACTATTAACATTTTAGTTTAGTTTGGTTTAGCTGCTTTTATTTATATAATTTTACTATCTGACTATAAATACTACCCCGCATTAAGTAGGCTTCTTATTTCTCTTACTATTATACACAGCATGAAATTTTCCTCATTTTTTTTAAAGATTTATTTATTTATTTATACAAGCACTGGGTACAGTCATACAGTCAGAAGCGCGGGAGGGTGAGAGAATTCACCAGAGCCAGAGGGGAGAGTAGAACAGGCAGAGTGACAAAGTACACTGCTGAGGGGAGCAGCGGGCGGCAGGAGAGGTCTGCGCGCCATGTGGGACCTTCGCCCAGTGGCCGGGGATTGAACCGGGGCTCCAGAGGTTGCGGGCCTCTTCGCAACCAAGCGCTCAACCGCTGTGCGGCTGAGGAGGCCCTGAAAATTTCCTCATTATTTATCATAATCATCATATAAAATATTCAGCTTGGTGTGTTCATAGAATTTATTTATTTAAAAATTTTTGAACATTTAAAATATTTTTGATGATCTTTTAATGCATATAGCTGTTTTGCATTTAATGCAATTCTTTTTTTAAAAAAAGATTTTATTTTATTTATACAAGAACTGGGGTACAGGCCAGATGCACAGGAGGATTCACCAGAGACAGAGGGGGAACTGAACAGGTAGACTGACAAAGCACACTGCTGAGAGGAGCAGCGGGTGAGGCAGGAGAGGTCTGCTGTGCCATGTGGAATTCTTGCTGCCAGCCGGGATCGAATCTGCGCTACAGAGGCTGAGGACAGCTTCACAGTGCAGCGCTCAACCGCCTGCACCAACAGGGAGGCCCGCATTTAATGCAATTCTTAGGGTAATCCTGACACGTGCTGGCATGAATGGGGAGTTTGTTTCCTATAGCACTGTTGACCGTGAGCTTTCAGGCTCAATATTATGCTACTCCTGCCTGTATCCTTGTACCCACCCCGTTTTCTCCTTTTAAAAGTCAACAGTACCGGGGCCTCCCCGGTGGCACAGCGGTTGAGCGCTGGGTTGCGAAGCTGCCCGCTGCCTCTGCAGCGCTGGTTCGATCCCCGGCTGCTCCCCGGCCACCGGAGGAGGGTCCCACATGGCGCGCAGACCTCTCCTGCCGCCTGCTGCTCCCCCCAGCCGTGTACTTCGGTCCTTCTGCCTGCTCTGCTCCCCGCTCTGGCTCTGGTGAATTCTCTTGCCCTCCCGCGCTTCTGAATGTACCCAGCGCTTGTATAAATAAATTAAAAAAAAAAAAAAGTCAACAGTACCTCCTCCATGACAACTGTGGGTCCATTTCCCCCACTCTTGAATCACTGTGCTTTCTTCTTACAATTCCATTTCAGTTCCTGTCCCTGAGTCACCTTCATGTCATTGAGAGTCGACTCAGAGTTTATGTTTTTCGTGCAATCTAACCGAACTGATACAAAACCTCTAGGCTGGTATCCAGTTTTAAATAAAGGACAGCACAACCTTTAATTATTCTCCCTGGACTTTACATGAGACAAATTTCCTTTCCAAATTAGACAAAAACATTTTCATCTGTCAGCTTTAATTACTGATATAGTCAAAGAAGACAGGAAATCTCTCAAATTCCTTTGGAGTAGTAGGTCTTATAGGATGTGAACACAAGTGAATTTGCAAGATAGAAAAATTGGAAATTCTACCTGTGACATACACGAATTTCAAAACTAGGTCAGAACAAAAGCTACTCATGGCTTTGGCACAGTGATTCTCACTTAAGTGGCCAGAAGAACAAGCTGGGAGGACATTATGGTCACAGACTCCATCTGACCAGCAGAGCTTGCAACTTAGCAAATGAAGGATGGGTCAGGCAACGGCACATTTAAAGCCCACACAAGGATTTTTGACATGGGGCATTGAATTTCGAGAAGCACTGATTTGGCACGACCGTGCACCACAGTGGCAAATATAGCAAGTGAGAAATGAAAAGAGATGAAAAGAAAATACATTAGTTTCAGCATAGCAAGATCTCTAATTTCTTAAAAGTTTTCCATGATTTATAATATGTAGAATAAGAATAAGAAAAATTAATAAAAACAGGGGCAATAACTAAAATTTGTTTGGTAAATTCTGGAATGTCATTTCCATGTAGACTAAACAGTGACTTACATTTTCCTTCTTCGTTTCTGCAGAGGACTTTTGTGTCATCTGTGTTTTGTATAACTTGAAGAGATTCACCAGGTTTTATCTGGAGATCTCTGGTTCCACACTTTTTAGAAGCTAAGGAGGGTGCAACTCTGGTTGAATAGAGGACTCTAATTTCACCATCATACTGAAAAAAATAAAGAAAAACATTTTACATTATTGATATGTACCAGTACAGTAATAATTTATCTGTTAGCAGATTTATTAAGAAAGTCTTTGCTAAATAAACAGTTACTTGTTTATAAAAGCTAGCATAAGAGCATCAATGAAAACTGCCTTTAGAAAAAGTTACTCATAACCTCACCACCCTAACATAATTTTGAAATCTGCATTTTTTTTTAAGTTTAGTGTGTGTTCATTTGATGTGTACTACAAAATGATGACCATAACAGGGCTAGCTAACAAACCTATCACTTCACACCATTTATTTTTTGTGGGGAGAATACTTAAGATTCACTCTCTTAGCAACTATCAAGCATAAAATATACGGCGTGTCTACTTATAACCACCATGCCATACATTAGATCCCCACAATTTATTCATTTTAAAAATGAAACTTTCTCTCCATTTCCCCCATCCTGCCACTTGCCCTGGCAACCACATTTTTATTCCAAGAGTGTGAAGTTTTTAGATCCCACATGTAAGTGACACAGTATTTATTTTTCTATGTCTAATTTCTTGCCGAATTATAATGATCTCAAGGTCTATCTACATTGACATAAAAGTCAGGACTTCCTTCTTCTCATAGATAAATAATATCTCATTGCATAAACAATATATACTGATTATTATTCATTCTATTTTTTATTATCTATTTACTAAGCATAAAAGGATGGTTACATTTAGATGATTATCACAGTATGCATATTGCGCATATATGAGAGTTTAATTTATTATAGAAATAAGTTTAAATCTAGAAGAAATTTCCTCTAAAATAAAGAATTTATATTGGATAACTGAGACTCACAATTACACTTTCAAATGTGCATTTTAGTACTTAATAGTCTTTGGATTTTTTCATTATTTCTACGAACTTTATATAATATTTAACTATGACATACTTTAAATTTTTTCCTGAAGTCTTTTTCTTCTTTTTCCTGCTTTTTTAGTTTCTTAGGGTCTTTTTCTTCTGTCTTGACCTTCATTCCTTGACTAGGATAGAGGAACACATATCACATAACACTTATTTCGAAAATATCAAAAGAACAGTATATAGTAAAGCATTCATACATTAAATTTTTGCTAAATTTTATTTTTAATTAATTCCTTTTCTGACAAATCCAGTACATTTATTGTAATAAATGACATCATTTTCTAACACAGAAGGGATTCTTCAAGAGGATATAGATTAAATGTAAATGCATTATCTGTTATGTTGAGCTGCACAAAATCACTGAGGTGTAGTTTAAACATGGCTATATATCAGCAGTTTCACATGACTCAAACTATTCTTGAGCTATAATTTTCAGTCCTTTCTAGATAATTTTGAGGCTTGGCCAATATCACAGAAAAAACTTTTTAAAAATCAGCACATCATAAAAAATGGCTTAAAAATATTATCTATATGATTTATCATATCTATATGAAATGGAACCAGTATGGCAGGCAAGAAACCTTGTAAGTTAAAATTTTAGATACTATAGTTTCTTTTTAAAAAATTGTATTATTTTTTATTAAGGTAACATTAGCTTACAAGACTATGTACTGTATATTATTATATGTAGTTCATAGATACCAATTGAACTAAAACCAATGATTATATGTGAAATTAATTACTAAAAGATAGTGATTTTCCAGTCTGTCCACTTACAGTATTACCTGGAAAGCTTTTAAACACTATCACTGTTCTTAACCATTTCCTAAAAATTTTAATTAATATAAATTGATTTAAAATTTCTAGTTATACTGAATGGTGTTTAGGTAGTAACACATATATTTTCAAACTTCTTTGGTGATACTAACTTGCAACTGAGGTAGAGAACCATGTACTAGGGTTAAATATGAATGTCAGGGAAAGGCTGTGAATCTCTGCATAAAGAAATTTAAAAATCAGAATATTTGAGAATAATGAAATACTCTGAACACTAACATTGATTTTTACTTGATTGCCTAAGATTAAGTTTTGTGTATAACAGATTTATTTAAAATGTTTGATAATTTTTGAATCTTAGATTTTAATTTATTCACTTAGAATTTAATGACTTATCACAATATTCCATACCGGTTCTGCATCATCACCTCATCTCTTATTTTATGGGACTCTAGACATTATTGGAATTGCTGTCCCAGATTAGCACTGTGGAGCTAAAAAGTCCCACAAGCTCTCTTAGAGAATAATTTATTGAATTTTATTTAAAAACAGAATAATATCCTGGAGATCATGAAATTGTTTTAAATTGAAAATAAGAATGGAGAAGAATACAGTATATATCACATAAAGTTCAGTCAGTTGGGTTTTATTTTGCTTGGAAAAAAAAGAACCAATATGTGACTGGATTCTGGAGGAGCTGTTTTATGGAATATAGTTGCATCTGTGCATTAATAAATAATAAAACAGAAAAAAAATTATCAACTGTCTGGGATAAAACAACTTCCTGATGAGTTGCTGAAGTGAAGTGAAATGGTGAGGAATATTAAAATATATATTACTAAAGAAGATTAGATTTCCTTTTGAAGGAGAACTGAAAATTGAGAATAATTCTCCTTTCATCTTTCTTGTTTGTTTTTCCTACAGAAATTGATCTTTGTATATAAGTAAAAGAATATTTTCCCTTCAGTTTCTTTGATCTTGAGATTGACTCTCTGTCAGTAATTTAACAATGTTAGTAAAAAGTAGTGTTCCCTCATGTGTTTTTACCAGTATAGTTCAGAAGTCACCATTTATTGTATCATATTTTGTTACTCTCAACTAATCAAATCTAAGAACTCTTTACCATCTTTTCTCTTGAAAAAGCTAGAGAAATGCTCTTGCTTTTATACACAGATCTCCTCACTTATTTATTGGAGCATAAAAAACTCCTACTTTTTCTACTTCAAAAGAATTTTCAAAAGGCATTCCTTTTTGTATAACTAATCTTATATTTTTTGAACAATTTTTGTCTAAAATTAAATCAAAATTAGGTGAGTTGAGAATGTCACTATTCGCTATGGAATGCTTTTTTAAAAAAATGATATTGAACCTTTGAGAATCAGATGCGCCTGTGAAAGAGACATAACCAAAAGTTCTTTTATAAAGCAAATTTTATTTTCCATAAAATAAAAAAAAATATCTCCTGTGGAACTCAGAGAAAATCTGAACCAGGTGGAAGAGGGGATATATAAATTAAGAAGTGAATTTGAGACAAAAGGGTTTTGGGAAAAAAGTCAACATAAGGGGAGATGATTCAGTGAGATTGGTTGTGTGTGATCAAGCACTCAAATACTTTCCCCATGAATGAATAAATAAGTGAATGCAGACCACTGTGAGTCACAGGGCAGTGGATAATCAGGGGAAGAGGAGTAAAACTATAGGGAGAGCAGGAGGGAAAAGACGAAGCTGGGGGAGAGGGGAGAGAAGGAGGCAGACCAAGGCTATCTACTTACAAACCTGGCAAAGATCAGGCAGAGAGGACAGAGCAAACAGTGTAACCGTAGACAAACAGCCCATTGGGTTTTATTCCAGTTGAATTTGCTTATGCAATATCACTTTCATTACTTAATTATAATGAAACAATTTAATTACCTCATCTCGAAGGGTGGAGGAGGGAAATCAGAGGCATCCACATCATCGTAAACTTCTTCTCCCTCTTCTAACAAAAGGCAAAATTTTGAAATACTGTTAGTTTGTTTTAGTAGGAGCAATAAAAAATGATTTTTACATTAAAAAGTGCTTGTAGTACATCAAAAGTTCTCCTAGTGTCTAGATACATTTCCTGGAAGGGGAACAGTTTTGGGCATGTGTGTTAAAATTGCTTCAAAAAACCAATGACCAGGATTGTCATTATCACTTTCTGGGGGGAAAAAATAGTAACCTAGATCATTTAAAGATCTACAGATTGATGAATGGCAAGACTAGTAGACTGCTGACAAACAAATTAACATTCCTGGTTTTGGGACAGCAGACAGTGGAGACTGAACACATCATTCTTTTTGGATTTGGAAAGATATGATAAAATATATCCTTTTATGTCTACGTCTATGTCTTTATCTACCTACCTACCTACCGATCTTCTTCTTCTTTTACTCACTGATGTGTTCTGCTGTAACTTTTAACTTATAGTAATTTAGGAGTGGCACCACCTTGAAATGGAAAGAATATTTATTTTCAAAAACATTTCTGACACTGCAGTTGTTTAGAATCAGTACTGGTGGAAATTGCTATGACCTTATTTGGGTCAGTGGATTTTTCAATCTGTAGTTCCCTGTTATCTTTCTTCTAGAGTCCTTGTCTAGAGGGATGCTTCCCCTCTGTGCCTATTAAATTGTTTTACAGCAATTTCAGCTGTAGATATTAGTTGAAAAGTGTGCAAACAATTTAAGGGATGATTATCATAAAAAGTTTAAATGCACTTTGATAGTGGCAAGAATTTTGATTTCCTTTAAAAATTCCCCTCTCTCTTTCTCTTTCCTCTCTTTCCATCTATATATGTAAATATATATAATACACATAAATATATATAATATATACATATATGTAAATATTTAACACATACACAAATACTTATATGTGTACGCATGCATTTGTATTATTTCCTCATTCAGGTTCTTTTCATAGGATAAAACTTGCTCACGTGTATAAAGAATCCATAATATATATGTAAAAATATGATTATCATTGATTTCCAAAAGAGGAAAAAATGACTATTCTATTCAGATTCATTTAAAACACAATTGAGAACAAAAGAGAATTGAAACAAAATGACATTTTTTACTGAATTGATCACATTTGTTTCAATTTATCCTTACTCTGTGGAGCTATATTTCTTGAAAATTATAGATAAAGATATGTATAGCATCAGTTATTGATAAATCTCAGTTATTGTCTTACCTATTTTCAAGGTGATAACTGAAAACAAAGTCAGTCTGGAAATAAAGATTAACTTTGTATTTGATTTGCTTTTGATGTATTTATAAGATAAACTTTTTTAAATTTCCCCAAAATTCTTGTGAGGCAAAATTTTCTTTTGTTCAAAGTAAAGCTGAGAAGCCTTTTAAAGCGCTGTCTCAGCAAGCATAAAAAAAATAAGCTCATTAAAATTGCACAAAGAAGTGGTGATCGGGTTCTCAAAAGTTTTCCATTTAGTGGATATTTTTCTAGATACAATATAAATTGTAATTTTAAAAAAAGTCAAAGAAATTTAGATGCGTAAGGTCCTCAGTGACATATAATCTGGTCTGTTTTTAGAAATCTTAATTCAAAGGGACAATACATCAAGCTCTGAAAGAATTGGGGGGTGGGGCATGGAACCAAAGGTGTCCATTTCTGCCAAGTTCACCCTTTCTCCAAAGTGACCCCAAAGACTCCTGGAAGAGCTGTTTGTTTATTTGTTTGTTTGTTTTTTATATAAGAACTGGGGTACAGGCCAGGTGCGGGAGGGTGAGAGGATTCACCAGAGACAGGGTGGGGAGCAGAACAGGCAGACTGAGGAAATACACTGCTGAGGGGAGACAGGAGAGGTCTGCCTTGCCATGTAGGATTTTCTCCGGCTGGCCGGGATGGTACCCATGCTGCAGAGGCTGAGGACAGCTTCACAGTGCAGCGCTCATCTGCCTGCGCCACCAGGGAGGCCCCTGGAAGAGCTGTTTAAAAACCATCAATCTTTTTAATTTTCTTCTTCTTGCTATTTAACAGTTGAGAAACCATGGCTATGCACAGTGTAGAAACTTGCCCAAAGTTACATAATTTTCAGGGTCAGGACTTCCATTCAGATATTGTGGGTATGTGTAATGATTTCCCACTATTCCAACTGTAAGAAGGAAGATATAAAAGATACAATTAGATTGCATTACTTACCCAATTGTTTAGGAGGAGAAGGGAAACTGAAAAGAAAATGAGAACACAATTATAATCAGTCTAATATAAAATGGAAACTGAGTATTTAGGAAAGGCAGGAACACCTAACAACCTGGAGGCTTCATAAGCTCATAAATCTGTTGACCATCATTCCTCTCTCATTCTCCAGTCTCCATTTCCCCAAAAAGTTCCAGTTTCTGTGCAGCAATTTGGAATTTAGCTATAAATTATATTTAATTCCAATGTTGGCCAAGAAATTAGAATGAAGATATTTGGTGGTTTATTTCATCTACAGTCATTGGACCATTGTTTTCACATCTGTTTTATGAGTTTGGGCATATCATAAAATCACACCAGAGGAAATAAAAATGACTCAGTCACTTGGAGTTATTGTGGCAAAGCTCTGCTTCAAAACGATTTATTTGACTCAAAGTGTAGAAATGCAGAGCAAAGTCAACAAAGGTCATAGGAATTTTAATGATTCCAATCTGTACCCCAAAACAGGAGAATGGTGAATAAGACAGGAATATCCATTCAAACTAGAAAGCAAGAGCTTATTAATAGGAGTGTTCTGGAATCAGAACTGGGTGGCATTTAGTTGCAACAAAAAAGCCCCTTGTTTCTATTATTTCTAAACTTTAAACACACACACATACACATGTACACACATACATCACTGGAAAAATGGTGCACAGTTACACTAACGTGGGAGACAACATTAGTTCAAACAATCACGATCAAAATTAGGCGATGTGTAATTGAAGCAGAAAAAATAATCTCCTCTTTCATTTCCAGGTAAAGATCTTATCTGAGTAACGCTGCATCAAGAGGCTGATTTCTTATGTTCACTTAAATTTTTAAGTGTCCTGTTTATTGAGTGTTGCTTTAGTGCTTCACGTATAGGCTTAAACTTAGGAAGTCTATGTGGAATAAATATTTTATACAGATTTCAGTTGTTAAGTATGGTGGTTCTATTGTAAACAAGAATATTCTTATACCGACAAACATGAAGAGTCTTCAAATTCATATATGTGGAATTTATCCTGAAGTATATTTTGGGGATTGAAAGAAAAAACTTACATCCTAGGATTTGTTTAGATAAACTTAAGGTACTTAAAAAATTTACTATGGATACATATATAATTCAAATAGAATGAATATATCATATTGCGCAGAGAGTTACAAAGATTTTAAATAACTTACAGAATTCCAATTCGTGTCTAGCAAATTAATTTTTGAAAGTTGTATATTTTAAGAGTAGTCAGTATAAAATATTATATAATAAAATGTACTACTGGAATTGCAAGTTTTTGGATATGATGCTGCAGTTAAAAAAAAATTCCTAAGTAAAGTATGTGACTATGTATGAATGTGTGAGGGTATGTGTATGTATGTGTGTGTGTTTACATATGAACATAAGGAAATCAAAATAGATCTTTGAACCATGACAATTTTTGATTACTTTTGTTCTTCTTATATATTGGCAAACGCATAAATTTAAGAGTGACACGGTCACAGTCAATGAGCCTGATGACTAATGAAAATAACAAAAAGTAGTTTAAGCCTGTCAGAATTTGGTTATTGGTTATAAAATATTAGTAGCATTTGATTAAATTAATATTAGTGTAGTTATCATGCACTGGATTTGGTGGTCGACTCTTACGATGGACCTTCATTATTGTCAGACTCAGAGTCTTTAGTTTTCACTCGTATACTTTTCTTTTTGTCATCTTTTCCCTTTAACTTCTTCAAAATCCCCCAGGACCAGGAGTTACTTCTCTCTTCAACCGGTAGCATGGAGCTTTGGAGCATACAGGCATTAATTAAAATGTAATAATGGATTCAATGTAAAAACATTGGGTGGACATTCAGTTTTTTCTTAGTAATTATGCTTCATAGATCATTCAGGCAGTAGCTACTCATCATATTCAACAAGATGATGCTAGTAAGATTATAAGCCATGGTCTTTGAATATTGTTTGAATACTGTTGCTACTAGGTAAGTAGTAGTTACTATTTTTTTCTATTTATTGAGATTTCTCTTGCTTCTTCAACTAACAAGCTAAGTCAGATTAAGCTTTAAATATCCATTTAGTTTTATGATTAAATTGAGTAATTAATACATCTTAAATTTTAAATTATGCCATTTCAAATATTTTAACACTTAAAAGTTTAAGTATTCATATTGGTTCTGCTATAGATAGCATATGACATCAATTTATTTGAGTTGCTTATAATTATGATTATTATATAAAGGATTAACTATATAACTCTAAATTCTAGAGATTGTTGTAAAACATTGGTTTACAAAATAATAATTAGAAAACATATCTATATCACCTGTAATTCACTCCTTTTTCATTTAACTACTTGGCATATTTCTTGAGGTCCTTCTAAACAGTACACCACTATATTTGAAGTGTGGTACAATTACACTTTTAATTTACTACTGCTTTCAATTAAGCAATCAAATCCTTTTTAGTAATGCAATATAGAACACTATTTTCTGCCTCTTTTTCTAACTAGAAATAAAAGTTACATTTCAGTAAATACAATAATTTTCAAGAAGGCAATTCACTGATCATTCTTACCCATCATCATCTTCTCCCTCTTCAATCCCATCATAAATATCATCTTCTGGGGGAGGTGGGAAGATTCCTTCATTTGGAGTAGGGAGAGAAAATCTTCTGTTAATTTTATGATTTGATAATGTAATAGTCATTCAAAATTTGATAATCTAGCTGCTTTCTTTAACTTCAGAAAGCCTCTTTAAAATATTAACCATTTAGGGCCTCCCCTGGTGGCGCAGTGGTTGAGTGCTGGGTTGCAAAGTTGCCTGCAGCCTCTGCAGCGCCGGTTCAATTCCCGGCCCCCGGGCGAGGGTCCCACATGGCATGACAGACCTCTCCTGCCGTGCCCACTGCTCCTCTCAGCTATGTATTTTGTCAGTCTGCCTGTTGTGTTCCCTACTCTGGCTCTGGCGAATTCTCTCACCCTCCCGTGTTTCTGACTGTCCCAGTGCTTGTGTAAATAAATAAATAAATCTTTAAAAAAAAATAAAATGCTAACCATTTAAAGAAAAATAATATTTTCAACTCTCACATAGATAGGCAATTTAATTGCCCTGCTGATTATTTTATAAGGAATTACTAGAGATTAAGTATAATAACTGTATGAGAGTGATGAATGATTACTGTGCACTGGAGAAGAGCGGAAGGGGGAGAATAAATATAAGAAAAACTAAAATTGAATCGAAGATACAATTACATATTTATTGTGGAGAAGGGAGTAAATGATAAATGAAAACTAACAGTGAGGAGGCATTCAGAAAAGGTACTTATCAAGCTATAAGTGAAGACATTGAAATGAAAGGTAAATTTGTTTGTATGAAGATAGTTGAAAGAAAGAAATGAAAAGTTACTGTTCATTTCTATTATTTCATTTCATCCAATTGATTTTTTCAAAGTAAGACCCTTTCTTTTTTTGATTTGTTATTCTATATACCTCAATAACATTGTTTTTTGACAAGCAATTATTTTACAAATGCTTATTGAGTATCTTCTCCATGCAGAAATATGCACAATGAAATTGAAATATGAGTTTTAGTATGAGAATTTCAGCATTGCAAGGGATTAATAAAATTCCTTTATTTTGTTGATGAGAAAGCTAAGCTAGAGGTTTTTAGAAGTCATAGCCAAGGTGATTATATGGTATTCATCCAAACAATAATACTTCTGAAATAGGAGGCAGATGCTGTTACTAATTGTGCTCAATTGGCATAAATTGAGACTGCCATGGGTACACTGGAAGTTTAGTCACCCTGTAATAACTTGAAAGAAAGAAGTGATGGGGATGGGATGACAGAATCCAAATCCAGACCATAATTTCCTAGCCTACTATTCTTTCCATGACATTAAGATCCTCTTTAGTATTTGCAGATGGAAGCATTTTGTCAAAAATGTTGAAAACTTGGAGAAACTGCAGTAAAAGTGTTTGGCTTACCTCCACTTCCACTGTGGCTAGAAAAACAAGCATAAACAAATTAAATTAATCTATGAAGGATCTAGTTCTCAGGGAGAGATGTATGTATATTAGCAGTTCTACAAAAGGGAAATAACATTCCAATTAAAATTTATCAGCATGTTATATGTGAATAGGAAGAAAAATTTGTCCTTATTACAACAGATGAATAATAGCAAAGCAAATGACAAAACAAAACAACCAGTAAGAATCAAGTGAGACTCAGCAAAAAATGTTCAAAGCAAGGATACTGTTTGCCCTTAACATTTCCCCATTAAGCAGTTTTCATATTATACATAGTTAGATGATTCCACAGGACTTATTAAATAATAATACTATTTCAGGAGTCAAATAAGGCCATTATTGTATTAAATTCAATTCTTTTTCAATGTCTTAAAGCCATCATATTTTATTCTTGGTCTAGTGGTATTAAACATTTTTATTTTTTATATACTTATTTTTTATTAATCAAATTTTTTCTTACATTGTTGTAGTCCCCATAGTTTTCCTGCCACCATATAACCCATGAGCCATCACCATATTCTCTTATATTCTTCCCTTTGCTGTTTTGCATCTTACACCCCCTCCTTTGCAGTATGCTTCAGGTCTATAGTCAACTTGCTGGTTTTGACTTTTACTTGACCTTTTGTTTGGTTTCGCTATATTCCACATAAGTGAGATCATCCAGTATCATATTTTTCCTTCTGACTAATTTCAGCTAGCATAACCCCTTGCAGCTCCACTCATGTTGTTGCAAATGGCATGAGTTTGTCTTTTTTGATTGCTGAGCAATATTCCATTGTATAAATATGGAAACCTTATACACAGGGCTTTTATACAGTGTGAACCCTAATTCTCTAAAGCCAGGATGCTTGCATTTCTTATTACTTCCACAACATTCTGTATTTCAGTGATTTTATTTTGCTCATGTTTCCCATGAAAGCATGAGTTCCATGAATGACAAGGAAATATAGACTATGAAAAGTAGAAAAATTTCATGTCATTGAGTTTTATTCCTTCATTTTTCAGAAAAGAAATGGAAGCTCTGAGAAATTGACTTGACCAAGCCCACTTTAAATTAACTGAGTTGCTGAGGCAACATGAGCTTCTTGCCTTCCAAGAGTTGTTTTACCAACACCGACCTGCAGACCCTGCGCTGCCATTTTGGCTCTTTGGATAATCTGACAGCAATGGTCTGATATTGCAACCATACAGCATAAGTGTCTACTAATATCTAATTCCTCAACCTTAACTTAGAATGAAAGAAACTGATCTAACACAAATCTATGATTAATTTAGAAATAAAAACTTATCTGTTTAATGGAAACTTTGAAGAAAAAATGCTGTTTTCATATGTAAAAAAATGGATTTTTGATGATGTTTAAGTATATTCTCTACTGCTTACAAACTATTTTCACACTCATTTTCTATGACACTGCCCTTTGAATATAAAGCAGGCAGTTAGAATTATGTGAAGGAAGGCAATTTTAGGGACTGTCAGTCCTGACAAATACATCTAAAAATGGTCTATTTAGAATGCAAAACATCTAACAGGTGAAGGAGACAACAAAGACTAGAGAGTATGAGAAAAGAGGCAAGAGGAAACCATAAAGGGGATGAGAAAGTTGAGAGGTGTGCATAGAAAAAAGTCTGTTACATGATGCAGGTCTGATATTTGCATTTGTAATTTCCTTTCCTTCCATGGTTTATGTTTGTTACAGACACTGCTTTGTTGAGGGCAAGAGAGGACAGCTCTCAGGACCTGTGCTTTTAAGCCTCTTGTCTACCAAGACTTTGAAGTGCAGAGTCAGCAATTATGACCCTGGAAGAATGGCAAAAAGCGGGTAAAGAGTGAAAGGAACCAGGAGGTATGTGGAAGAGGGAGAAGGAGACTTCGGTGCCATCTCTCATTCTGCCAGGGCAAGCAGCCGGCTGGGCTCAGCATCTTCCGTGTTCCACTAAGGACAAAGCATGTTCTGTTAGGAGATTTCTACCAGCAGCAGCTGTAGTTTAAAAAATAAAACTTGTGTAGAAATTACGCTTCTTTCATTTTCGTATTGAATATGCATAAGGGGGATGGATGCTAGTAAATATTATAGTGCCACACTTGTTTAAGATATTGAGTCTTAAAACCACATACCTCCTCCAACCACATTTTATTAAATAGAAGATTCTTTTTCTGCTACATGTTTAATAGGTAGATCATGTCTTTTGGAGTTGGGTATGGATTCAATACAATGAAAAAAGTGATAGCATTAGTTTGGGGAAACATTCACCCACTATGGCTAAATCATGCTTCATTTTTTAAGACTATCACCCCTTTTTAAAGAAATGATTTTTTTTTGCACATCAGTATAAAAATGTTATTTGTTAACATTGTTAATATAATAGAACTCTTTAATCTATGTTAGACAAATGGATTTTTTAAATAAAAATAAAGTGTGAAAACTGTATACATATCAATAATATATTGTATGTGGCTTGACATATTCAGAAAATCCTGTAAATCTCAGACTATATGTGGTACTTCAATTGACACCCAATATGGCATTAACTGATTCTTAAATGTCAATGTGTTTCTTATTATTAGAGTCAATTTATGATCTGTAAATTCCTGTGCACATCTTGCATATTTTGATATATGCTGAATAACTTATGTTCACAACATAGGAATGTGTTTCCAGCTATAATTTATTTTAGAAGATGAAACTGCTAGGAAACAGTATAATAAATATTAATGATGGCATGAGGCAAAAGCAAAGGGAAACCTAATTCTTTATATGCTTTGTAAGTATATTGCTAACTTGATAGTTTTACATGTTGTATATCGTTAATAACTGAAGCATTTTTTCCCTTTAAATCTGAGTTATGGGGAATGCAGGTGCACTTTACCTGAGTGCACTTCTAGCACAGGTTATGTTTTTTTGTGGACCACAATGGAAATTTCCCAATTCCACAAAGAGGATTCTTAACTGGGCTGGAGATTTTCCTTCTCCTTTCCCATCAACTTGACATAATGGCTTTACAAGGAAAGGCAGGTATTGGAGGAAAGAGGGAATGAAAGGTGAAGAAGAACGGAAAAGCAAGAAGGAAACTAAAGGACCAAGGAAGATTGCAGTTAGGGTGAAGAGACAGATGAGGAATCAGGGAGTGAGAAAGTGAAAGACTCAGAGGGGAAAGCAGGGAAGTAAAGCAGGGAAAACACAGGGAGAATATATCTACTCTCCTCTCTCTGCGTCTCCAGAGGATGTCTTTTTCTGTTCCCCTGCTCCAGAAGGGGTGCCCAAAAATCTTGGGAGAAAGTCACTGTATTCTAATGGACTGAGTGACTCATGCAAAGTGGACTTTTAGTTGATTTCCAGATATCACACAGAATAACTTTTACTTTATTAAAAAGATTTATTTTATTTATGCACACTTTTAGTTTTTCACTTTAAAAGTAGAGTTGTAGTACAAAAAATTGTGTTTTCTGTTTCCAAATAAGAACAACAACTATATTTAGACTCAGAAATTTCAGTGCTAAATGTTTCATATTTTTTCTGAGTTAAATTTTAAATTACATGCTTCGTAGTTTATAAAATCATATCTACTTCAGGCACATCCCTAACACCTAATCAGAAAGAATATTATGAAACATTGTTTTGGAATGACAACATATTTGACAGGATATTACAAATGGCTTGTTATTTTTTTCAAATACTATTTGATACTTATAACCAGAGTAAAATAAAAGACTTTAATAAACAGAGCAGAGTTTCAGAGGATCTTTCCTTATATTCGTTATTTTAAATAGTAATATAGCTTAGGGATAGAAGATTATAGTTTCTTAAAATATACACTCTATGACAAGAAGACAGTCTGGTGTGTTTTACAGTGTGCATTTGCACATACCTGTTAACATCCTGCTCAGCAACATCATCATATACTTCTTGGTCATCTTGAAGAGGTCTTGATGAAAAGGCACTGAAGGAGTTTTTCTTCCTTTTCAAAGAATCATAATCAATCTCTACAGCAGTTGTTTTAATATAGCCATCTATCAAAAGGAGAATGATTCATGTTCAGTTGTTAACTAAAGTTTAAACATTTTAAGGTTGTGAAGAAAACATCAATTGCGCACTTGCTCTTTAAACTTTCCTTTCATCACTTTGTTTGGTGTCTGATTTATGTACTTCTCATGTAGATATATTGTACTTTATTTTGTCAAAGACTTATGCTGCTGTGATTTGGGGTAAACCTATTATTTTAAAGATTCCAAAGTGATTCACATGAGTCATTTTTTTCCTTTTAACATCAATGATGAATCTAATGCCCTTTGTCCCTCCTTGGAACAATATAAACATTGACTTTGTTCCCCATCAAAAGGATAACAGATGAAGTGAAGATGAGCTAGACCTGCCATTTTAAATCTGTTTTTTCCTGCAACATACTCCTAACTTATGCTTATAGCATTCTGAAAGAATTGGCACATTTGATATAGGTTCCAAAAGAGAAGACTTTGAAGTTATAGGAAATTCGAACTCACATGACCCCCTCGCTGTTCTGCCCAACCATTTTCCTTCAGGGTTGTCTGTGATGCGGATTATTTCAATTTGGTCTCCTTGCTTGACGCTCAGTTCATTCTTTCCTCCTTTGACATCACAGCAAGCTTTTGCTTGATGGAGGACTTGAATAGGGCCTGTCAGCTGCACAGAGGAAAGAAATAATCACAAGTGGCGTCTTTACTATTCAGAAAATCTTTAAGCAACGCAGTTTTCAAAGACAATATGTCCACAAGTTGGCAAGCTGCCTACTTCCAACATTATAGGCTTGAACTAGAAATTGAGGGTGAATGTCATTTCTGGGGAATGTTCTAGGTGTTAGGGGAAAATCACAGAGGTCAGAAAAGACCAGCAAAGGATAGATAAGCATGTGCTTGGGCACCAGAAGAGAGTGACATTTATCTGCTGACTCTGAGTGACTTGCTGACAGTCCCTGATAGCTGAACACCACTTTTGTGTGACAATCCACATTGGTGTTGTGTTTTGATGGAGCCTTTCCCTTTTTGTGTTGTGTGGTAATTCACATGGTCCTCTGCAGGCTTAAAATGGCAAAAAGAAAGGTAAGGGGTAGTGGTGGATGGTACTTATGGAAAAAATTTTTTCCTTCTTTTTCTCTTTTAACTTTACAATAATTGAATGTTTATAAACTTGGAGTATACATGGCTAGCTACGAAGAAGGTATTATTTTTCAAATAACTTTGTACATAAAAAGATAGCAAATGTTTGTGAAGTTTAAAAATTAATATCCTGATAGTACGCTGGTTTGCTGACAGCAGGGGAATAATCTAGTTTATACCATGAAACTGAATTTCTTTACCCTACACTGATGTCTTCGTAGATCTTTTAACATGCAAATATACATTATAATTTTGAAAGAAACTAGGCCTTATATTTTTAAACTCAGGATGCTACTTGAGGCATGTGACATATCATTTATTAAGTATCCCTGAGAAAGAAAAGAGAGTATGATAGGACAGTGATGTTGAGATACATCCTAATTTTGTAATTTTGAGTGTGAAATTTTTTTTATAGTTAAATAAACATGATGTTAAGTCATAGTTCTTGTGTTAATTTAATTTTAATATCTATCAACATTTCAGTGGAAGGCATATAGTTTGTGAAGTCGTAGTCTTGACAAACTTCGGAGTTCCGATTTAGTGATATGATTTCCAGCTCCTAATTTTTTATTACTAAAAAAAATTATTTGAGTGAAGTGTGCAAAGTTGACTCTTACAAAAGAAACACAGGCAAAAACTCACATAATTCCATCAATAGTCTAAACAATTCTTCATAAAAATGTGCTATGAAGATTTTCCATTTATTTTTTCACATTTTCCACATGAAAATATAAAAATTGGTAGCTGTACATTCTATAAGGTTAAATGTTTTAATAATCAGAGTATAATATTAATTTTACTTATATATTATAAACTTTTCAAAAATTGAATGACTCCTTTAATAGATATGGTGCCTTTTGTAACACTGATTTACTTGATTCCATAGTGAACTTTCAGGAGAGGTATTACTCTCACTTTAAAATGGTGTCCCTTGTGTGTGAAAGTTATAAAGTGAGGTAACTCTTTTTCACCCTTCAGTCACAAAGATCTTACCTTAAACTTCTTCTTTATCTCTTGTTCTTTCTTTTCTCTTTCTTTTTGCTCCTTTTTCTCCTGCTCTAATCGCTTCTTTTCCTCCTTTTCCCTTTTCTTCTCTCGTTCTTTGGATGTTTCTCTATAGAATAAAAATTGTTAGACTGTTTCAGCATCTGCAGGTGCTGATTTGTTAAGGTTTGCCATCCCAAACAGAAGATGGTTGCTGAAGTATAGGTGGTGAAAAGTGAAGCGTTGTCAAAATTCTTAGGTCACTGAGGTCGTTAATCAGTAAGAAGTATACAACTGAGGGTACCTTCTAATAGCTCTGCTTCCCATACAGCTTGCCCCAACGAGTAGAGCACATTGTGTATAAAGGCCCTGTTCTTACTCATGTCAACACACTTTCATGCTCTTTCATGAACATGTAATCACAGGTACAAGAGCATCCATGCAAACTTTGGTCAAAAATGTTAGAATTGAATGAATAAGAACTGGGTAGAGGGCCTCCCCGGTGGCGCAGCGGTTGAGCGCTGGGTTGCGAAGCTGCCCGCAGCCTCTGCAGAGCAGGTTCGATCCCCGGCTGCTCCCCGGCCACCGGAGGAGGGTCCCACATGGCGCGCAGACCTCTCCTGCTGCCCGCTGCTCCCCTCAGCAGTGTACTTCGGTCCTTCTGCCTGCTCTGCTCCCCGCTCTGGCTCTGGTGAATTCTCTCTCCCTCCCGCGCTTCTGACTGTACCCAGTGCATGTATAAACAAAACAAAAACAAATAAATAAATAAAATAAAACATGCCTCTATTAAAAAAAATTAAAAAAAAAAAAAAGAACTGGGTAGAGAAAAATTAAGATAGTTGAATCAACATAAGATAAAAAAACATGTTTATGACTTTTACTCACTCTCCAAGACAATTTTTTAGTTTCAGGCACCCTAGAAACTCATTTTGAAGTTATTTTTAAACATATTTCCGCCATACTTTGGCATCTGGCACCATGATAAGTTATTTCTCATGGCACCCATGTGACGTAAAGCTTCACTCAGGTGAGGAAGATATACATTAACTAGTGCCAATGACTGAGGACACTAAAAGCAAGAAATACAACTTCTTGGCTGTGTAATTCCTTCTGATGAGTCTATGATCTCTCACATAAAATTTTTTAATGGTTCCTGTAAAATCTTTAGAGAAGTAATGTCCTGAGTTCATTCCCTGCCAGGAAGGTGACCCACATGGCACAGCAGACCTCTCCTGCCTCGCCCGCTGCTCCCCCCAGCAGTGTATTTCAGTACATCTGCCTGTAATGATCCCCACTCTGTCTCTGGTGAATCCTCTCATCCCTTCGCCACCACACCTCTGGCCTACACCCCAGTTCTTCTACACAAAAATAAATAAAATCTTTAGGGAAAAAAATCTTTAGAGAATTAAGGACCTTCTGTACTTTGCATTGAAAAAAATATTATTATATACAATTATCAGAACAATAAAGCTTCCCCCTAGTAGTATATAGCCACTTTATATGAAACACTACAATCATCTTAAAAAGGAAATAAAGTAAAAAGTGTAACTCATACATGTCTTCATATGTTTCTCCTTCACTATCTTGTTCCTGTCACGAAAAACAATAATGATTAATTTTAGTTTTGAATTTAAAACATCAGTAATGATTAATTTTAATACAAATATTTTAATACAAATATTTAATACAAATAAATAATTTTAATACAAAAATAATACAAATATTGTATTAATTTAATACAAATATTTAATACAAATACAAATAAAAAATGATTAAATTTAATACAAAAAATACTTAGAAAGACAACTGCAAACTGAAATATATGTAAACTTGGCTTGTTTAAAATACTTTAGCAATAGACTGAGAAAATAAGAATATAAAGGTTTCATTTCATAGCCTACCATAAAATTCAGAAGTATAGCTAGACTTAAGTTTATATTCAGCACTATGAAATTATTATAAATCACTGTAGTGATTAGTGTTTAATGTCTCAGATATTTTTCATGAAATAAGATTACAAATGGAAAAGTATCATTATTCATAAGAATTTACATTTGTTTGGTTTATATCAATAGAAAATGAATAATAATAATTGTTAAATATTTTAGCTATAGCAATATAATATGAGAAGAAAAAAATCTGACCTCTTCTAGATTTCCAGTACCTGAAGGGTTAAAAACAGAGATTAAAATTTAACATGCTGTGATTAAGAAGCACTTTAGTAAAGGACTGTTATATGTAATATAATATTCTAAATAGTTAAACAGAATAAACTAACAGAAATGATGCTTTATCAAAGATATAGAAGCACCAAATACAATACATGCTTTGGGCCCTTACTATGGTTTTTTGATACTGACAAATTAATCATACAAATTATGAAATCATTACATTGTTTTTCATAAAATAATACAAAAGTCAAAAAATAATGAGGACACTGTTTAGTACTTTATAAAAGGCAAGTATATTTGGTTATATGGTTTTTGTGGAGTAAAAGCATTTTCAGAAAATCACAATTTCATACTTTTTGACTTATTTTTCACAAAGATGGATTTGCATTCATGCATCAAACAAGTCAAGTTAATTAGATTTTAAAAATATTTTACTGCTCCAGTGTCTAGATATATCAATTAATGATTAGATATTAAAACATAGAGCAATAATTACAAAAAAAACAGTGGTGTTGGTATATAAACAAATGGATCAATGGAATAAAGTAGACAGCCAGGGCCTCCCTGGTGATGCAAGGTGTTAAACGCAGCTCTATGAAGCTACCCACAGCCACCACAGCACAAGTTCCATCCCCGGCCAGGGAGGTGACCCACATGGCACAGCAGACCTCTCCTCACTCGCCCATTGCTCTCCTCAGCAGTGTATTTCAGTTAGTCTGCCTGTTCTGTTCCCCACTCTGTCTCTGGTAAATCCTCTCAACCCCCACGCCTCTGGCCTGTACCCCAGTTCTTGTATGCATAAATAAATAAATCTTAAAAAAAAATAGACAGCAGAGTGACAGATGACAAATTTATATGCACACACACACATTTATATGCATAGACACACATAAACAGTTGATATAGCATAAAAGTGGCATTATAAATTAATGAAAGAATGGATTTTTCATTTAAAGTACAGTAATGGCAAAATGATTCTATACATGATGTAAAAAATTCTACTAACTCTTTAAAGGTAAACTACATATCAAAGACCTAAAAACAAAGAATAAATTTCATAGAAGAAAGTATGAGTACTCAAGATACAACTTCTTAAATAAAACTTAAAAAGCATATACTACAAATTTAAAATTAATGAATTATATAAAAATTCATTTATGTTCCATTAAGGACAGCAAGAGCTAAGTTAATAAAAAATGAATGGACTGAGAGAAGGTATTTGCAATATCTACATCTGACATATGATTACCATTGTCTGGAATATACAGGAAGTACTATGTAGCAATTAACAGTAACAAATTAAATACATATAGAGTAATACCACATTGAGTATTTTAAAAAGACCAGAGAGAGATAACTTATGTAAATTCAAATGCATGCACATATACAACATTATGCAAAACATGTATACAAACACATATACTTTAAATATGTTAGGATATTTGTCTGTGATAAAAGGAAGAGCAGAAAAAGAGTGGTTATAGAACTAAAAGGGAATGAACAAGTAAGTAAAACAAGAACAGGGATTCCAGCATGGGCCATGATAATGACCCATTAATGACCTTTGAGAATGACTAACTTTATCTTCTGCTCCTGCAGTACCAAATAAATAAATGCAGCATCGCTGCCTCTTACCGTCAGAGGGCATGAAACCATCCTGATGGTCTTCGTTTACAGGGATTCTAAAAATAAGAAAGAAAAAAAAATTGAGAAGAGAATTAGAAGGTGTTCACCTTGAAAGGAAAAATTAAGGGAACAGTTAAAAAATATTCTTTTTAATATTTGCTCTGATTTAAATTTTCAGAAGTCCTTGGAATAGACTTCAGCCTTATATTTATGCTATTAATGCTGGAGAAAAAAGCAGAGATTCAGAGAGGTTGAGTATAGTACTTTCCATTCATGGTGGACAGATGCAATTAATCCAGTTTTAGGGCAGGAATGTTTTCCTTTAAAATAGCGGAAAATCAATAGCTCAATTCTAGGATTCCGAAGGCAGTTGATTGGTTCTATCATAGATATATGAAAGGGAATTAGTTCTAATCCTCAAATCCTTCACCTTTTCCAGATGTTCTCCACCTGGCTTTACTTTCCACACTTGTGTCTTGAATTCCTAGGTGCTTCATTCCAAACCCTTCACCCAACTTCTCTTAACATTGTTAATACCTTGCTCCCACAAAAATTAATGGAACAATCTATATTTTTTTAAATTCTATTCTTTGGTTGATTAGCATAGGTGGGGAAAATTCTCATCTTACTAATTCTAGCTCTCTCACATAATTGATATTCAATCAACTGTATCCTCAACACTATTTCACAATCTCATTGGACTGTTTTTAGTCAATCATCTCTTGTATCATTCTTCTTGATGGTTATTCAAAACCTTCACCTCTTTCCTCATCCAATAATCTTTTCCTCATATAACCACGATCTCCTTGAAAAATAATATTTTTAAATAATTATTAGTTTTAAAAATAATTAATAAATACATAATTAGCATAGCATGCTATATTATGATAATTTAAATATTTAAATTAGACCTTTGCATTGTTGATTTTAATTGAATATTAATAAAAACACAAGAGGTAAATACCTTAGACATGAGAATACATGGGCATTCTACAGAATAAAAATATATAGCTCTTTTTTAAAATGATTTATTTATGCATACAAAAACTGGGGTACAGGCCAGAGGTGTGGAGGGTGAGAGGATTCATCAGAGACAGAGTGGGGAGCAGAACAGGCACGCTGACTGAAAATACACTGCTGAGGGAAGCAGTGGGCGAGCCAGGAGAGGTCTGCTGCACCATGAAGGTAGTTTGATCCCTTGGCCAGAGATGGAACTTGTGCTGCAGTGGCTGTGAATAGCTTCCTAGGTTGTGTCTTAACTCCTTGTGCCACCAGGGAGGCCCATAGCTCTTTTTTTTTTTTTTAACTGCATTATTTTTTATTGATGTAGCACTGGTATACACCGCCATATATGATTCAGATATTGGTTCACAACTTTCACATGTATGTCACTCCACCACTCCCATCACCAAGCACCCATGGTCCTTTACTATAGTCCACTGGGTCCTCTCCACATTCTACCTCCTGCCCTTTGCCCCTTCCCATCTGGTAGCCTCAATTCTATGCTCAGATTTATGTTTCTTTTGTCTTCTATCATTTTTTCCTCTATAATTCACACATGAGTGAAATCAGCTGGTATTTCTCTTTCTCCTTCTGACATTTCATATAGCCCTTTTCATGAAAGACAAGGTTCTTATGCTCAGTCTTATTCTTTTACAGTTTTGTCTCATCATCCTCCTACATCATCTTCTCACTTACTAATACTAGTAGCTCATTTTCTGAACATTCACTGGTTTCTTATTCCTCCAATCCTAAGCAATGCCATTTCCCTCCTCTGGAATAATCTGCCCTCTCATCATACCCTGCTTGTGTTCCCTGCTTAATCTTTGAGCCTCTTAAACACACTCTCTCTCTCTGCAGGTATCCATGTCTTCCCTAAGTCCACTGGGTTGCCGCTTCTTTGTCATACATCACTCTATTAGAGTAATTATTCTGACTTGCTATAATTATACAGTAATTATCTCAGGTCTCTCTTCCCACTATGAGACTGCAGGACCCTTGAGGAAAGAAGATTGTCACTGTTAGTTAGTTTATTATTATACCTGTCAATTTTAGAAAGTTATTAGAATAATTCCTGCCATGTACATGACTTTTTTTTTTTGAGGAGTTAATGATGCCCTAGTAATACTAAGACATTAAATTAATTTTTGTAACTGAAGTGAATTGCTTATTGTGGTTTTTGAAACAGACTGTTAAATCAAAAAGACTCCTGGACTTGCAGTTTACTTCCTAAGACACTCAGATGAATAACAAATACTTGCAAAATGAGGGGTGTCTGCACAGCACACTCAGATGTATGTGCCAGCACGTTTATGCAAACCTTTTATTACTTGTAGCCAATGTTTGCACGCACACATTTATTCACAAATCCAACATCACAGCACATAAATTTTAGTTTATTTTATTTAGGTTTAAATTCACAACATGCTTCACAATAAAATATTCAACAAATGTGAAACAGTGATAAGAATAGAAGTCATTGTTAAGAAAAGAAAAAGATGAGAAGTAGGTGAATGCTGTAAATAAATTCAGGTCAAACTATCACCAATTGTTCAAAAAATTGCATTCTGGGCATTGAGAAAATCCCCACAGGGAGATAAAGAGATGATGAGATTAGTTAGTCCCAGTTCCAGAAAGCTAAGCAGAGAGCAGGTAAAGGGGGAAAAAAAGGAACCTTCTCGGCAATTACAGTATTTTACAGTACCAACATCTTTGTTTTTTGCTACACGATGCAGAATTCAATAGGCTAAGGGAAGTTATTTTAATATTATGACTTTCATTTTTAGAAAGTCATTACAGCTCTTTTTCCTGACTTTTAAAGTTGTAAATTTGTTGAACTTTATACCTATTTGTTATTCATGACTTTTATTTATGAATCTTATTTTTAATTACTACAGTTGTTTTTTTAAAGAAAAAGAAAATCTAAGTGACACAGAATTTTGTTCTATACCTGCCCTTACTGAGAATGAAACCTTGTAAGCTTTTCTGTGCAATGTGTATTCCCGTGTTTAACACACAAGGGATTTTTAAAACATTGTTTAAGCCAATGCAATCCAAATGGAGTTAGGTAGGACTATCTGGTAGAGTGTGATATGACAAGTTTTAAACTCCAGAAAATTTTAAGCTAGATTTCTAGTGGCTAAAAAGGTTATACTTATAAATATTTCTTCTCTGTTTGTAGCACCAACAACAGTCTCACATTGATTATAAATGACCTCAGGGTAAGAACAGTTTTACCTTTCCTTTCCCTGCCTTAGTCACTTCCCATTATTTATTATTTCTTATTACTTCACTTTTCCTGTCTCATTACTATTAATAACCATATGATTTGTTTAGTATACCAAAATACGCAACCTTTGGTTTTATTTTCATATAAAGACTACTTATGCCATTAAAATTATGAGTAATTTGAAAAATGCTAGGAAGAAATAGGTTCCACTAAAGATTTTGATTTGAACACAAATAATAATAAACACCCTCTTTGACTCAGTTCAGTTTCACTACAGAAGTCTAAGTTAAAACAGTAGAAAATGTAACAAGCTGATTTCTGACCACTAGGTGGAGAAACAATACAGTAATAAATTATGTTTTAAACTCATTGTAACTTTGGCCTCAACAGCTTTATTTAAAAAAATATTATTATTTCTAATTCTCACTTCCCTCCAATCTTTTACCATTGAAGGCATTATGACTTGAATGATAAAATTACAAATGACTTCTAAAAAGCATTGCAGGTAATGAAGGCTATCTTTGCTCCTGAAATTCCTTCTTGATACCAATTAGAGATTTGTTTTCTTGCCTCAAATAATACAGGGACTCTATACGGTGGGGAGAACTGGAAATTTTATCAGACATTTGCTCATTTGGGTAGCCAGTCTCTCCTACACGTGGGATCCCTATTATTCTAGTACTTGATTCCAAGAATTTTCCCCTTTCTCTGTCATTATAATTCTTCCCCTTCTTTTTGGCTCTTCCCCCTTAGCATGCAAATATACTGTTACTTCTTCCATCAAAAAGAAACTTGATTCCCTTTCCCTAGCCAATCACTGTGCCATCTCTTTGCTTCCTTTTTCTCCAGTAAAGGTTTGTCTATTGACTTCCTCCTGTACGGTGAAAGGTAGAACTGGACTTCTAGTGATGATCTCAATGTAATGTATACAGACATTGACCTATAATGATACATACTTGAAATTTATAAAAAGTGGCGCAGCGGTTGAGTGCTGGGTTGCGAAGTTGCCTCAGCCTCTGCTACCCCGGTTCGATCCCGGGCCACTGGGAGAGGGTCCCACATGGTGCGCAGACCTCTCCTGCCGCCCGCTGCTCCCCTCAGCAGTGTACTTCGGTCCTTCTGCCTGCTCTGCTCCCCGCTCTGGCTCTGGTGAATTCTCTCACCCTCCCGCGCTTCTGACTGTACCCAGTGCTTGTATAAATAAATAAATAAATAAATAAATCTTAAAAAAAAAGTTTTATTGCAAAGTTACTTCAATAAAATTTTTCAAAAAGAGTATCTGTTTTTGCTCTTTCTGATTCCTCACCTTTCATGCTCTTTTAAAGCAATTTCGGTCAGACTTGTAGACCCACCACTCTGGGTCTGGAGGAGGCTGTAGCATTCTGATCCCTACAATCCTTACTTATCACGCTTTCAGCAGCATCAGACAATAGATTGCTACAGCCTCCTCCTTGGGAATTCTATCTTTACTTGGCTTCCAGGACATCCTTGTGCTGCTTTTCCCCTGCTCCTGCCTGGAGGAGGTTGTTCCCTTTTATTCTCCTTTGCTGAGTTTTCTTCTCCTGGATCAGGCAGTGTCAGAGTTCTCCAGTTCTCCATTTTTCTCTTTTCACTTTACACTTACTTCCCTGGTGACCCTAGCCAGTCTCATGACTTTTAAGTGTGGAATATTTGCCTATGACATTCAAGTTTCTATTGTTAACCCAGAGCTCTCACCCCAACTCTTCACTATTTATACACACTTGCCTCCTTGACATCTCCCCTGGGATATTTAAGAGGCACCCCAGGCTTCACATTGCTTTACCAGCTCTGTCTTCTCACCCCTAAACCTCACTTTCAGCCTCCCCATTTCAACCGATGGAAATATTTCCTTTTTTTCTTTCACACCCCAAATCCAAATACTATTGTCTTTGCTTTCAAAATGTATCCAGAATCAAAACTCCTCATCCCACCTCCCCAGCTACCATACTGATGAGAGTCACTTCCAAATCTTGCCTGAAATTCTGCAATATCTACCTAACTGCTTCAGCATTTGCTCATGATAGCTTTTCAACACAGCTGTGAAGGCAAGATTTATATGACGTAAGTCAGATTGCATCATCATTTTGCTCAAACTCTTTCAGTGACTCCCTTTTCACTTGGGATGAGAGCCACAGTTTCCATCACATCCCATGAGCCCTACATAGTCTGACTCTTCTATGTCTCCTTCCCTTTCTCACTTGATTCCAGCCATAGCTCAGTCTTTCTAGTCCTGGAATACCTGAAACCATTGCTCTGCCTGTTTTTCCTGCTTGGAATGGTCTTCCTCTAGATATCTGCATGCCTAGCTCCCTCATTTCCTTGACCCTTCACTCAAGTGTATCATTCTGTGAAAGGAGACACCCCCACTTCTCCTTTAAAGTTGCAACATGCTGTCTCCAAGATCACCCTCCCTCTATACCACCCAACCCTGCTCTGTTTTATCCCATAGCACCAGATATTTCCTAACATACTATGTCCATCACCTGTTTATTATTTTCCTCCCTTGTGTCTCTTGCCCCCTGTTTTATGGCGGCAAGGATCTTTGTCTTATTCACTGACAGTACCTGAACTCTTATTACGAAGGCACAAAAGAGAGTTTCAAAAAATAGCTATCAAGTGAATATAAAACAATATAAACCAGATCTTGCCCCAAGAAGTAAACAGCATGTGCAGCTGGCAGGAGTACCTGGGACAGGCCAATGCCCATGCTTTCAAGAGTGAAGGTAGCAGAAAAAAGTAAAGCATAAAACTAGCTATTTCTCATAATTTTACTTCAAAATTATCCCCAGATCTCCTCTCACATAAAATGTAAACTTTGAGCCTGAAAATCAAGAGCCATTTTGCTTTTACTTCCTGTTGTCATCTAACTTCCCTCCTTGGAGGAACGTTTCAAACCTAACTATTTCTTCATTTTGGAATTTACTTGAGGTCTGTAATGAGAACTTGAAAGTTTTGGTCTACACACCACATTTTCACTTTTTTTTTCCCCCCACATTTTCACTTTTGAAAATAAAATGGAAACAATAAAATGCCAAGGATGGATGAGTGCACAAAGAGGATGTGATATATATTCACAGTGGGTTACTGCTCAGCTATATAGAAAAAAGATGAAATCCTGCCATTTGTGACCACATAAAACAAGTCAGAAGCAGAAAGACAAATACTGGATGATTTCACTCCTACGTGGAATATAAAAAACCAAAGCAAAGAAACAGAAAAACCAAACAATATTCTGGCTGCAGAACTGAGGTTACCAGCAGGGAAAAGTAGGAGCCAAAGGTGGAGGGGTCCAGCAGACTGTGGAGGAGGGTATTGGTACTTTGGTGTTGGATGTAGCGTGGTAATTTACATTTTAAGGGGCGTGAACCTGTATTTGTAAAATATATGCAGTGATGCAAAACAATATTACTACAATAAAAGAAAAGAGAGCGAGAGAAGGAAAGAAGGAAAGAAAATATCTAGTGGATTAAATTTATTAGAGGAGGAAAAATATTAGGAAAAAACAAGATTAAATATATATGAATACAAAAGATCTACACAGAAATCCATTGTATTTAAGAACACATATTAGTAACATTCTGACTTGGTAGCTGGTTATCATAAGGTATTAATTAGAGTACTGGAATTAGCATTAATAAATTCAAATGTGTGAAAGGGTGTGTCATTAACATAAATGCATAAAGCAGGCCATATATATGAAAATAGCCACTAAGCTATAGCACCTTACAGTTACTGCCTTTAAACTGTCAAAGTGAAATTATAGGTTCAGGCCTATAATTGAAAGAAAACACAATAAACATAGGGCTGGCTACCATTGACAAATATGTTTACAACCCTGCTCAGAATTGTAATCATCACCAATTAACAAAAAACATTCAGTCAGAAATGGTTGTTAACAGAAACCGTTACACAGATTATGGAATGTTAAGGACATCAATTTGGGGAACTGAAGTAAAGAAAAAACAAACTGAAGCTAAATATTTAGAGCTATTATTTGTGGTAAAGGACAACCATGTAAGACAATTTTCTAGAAGAATAAGGGAGGATCTACTCTGACTTGCCACAAGGATCCACACTTGCCGTTATCTCAATATGTCTTTGTAAAACATTTCATTCTATTTCACTCTTCCACTTGTTTTTTTTACTGAATCAGCTATTCTGGTAAATTACAAATAAAGAGCCCATGCATAGCAACCTATATAGTCTGGTTATTTCTAAAAAGCACTAATTAAGAAAATGTAAGAAAGAGTAGAATTGCATGAAAGTATCCTGTGTTTTTTAACACACAATCAAAAATCTAAAGGATGACAGAAGACCAGCATTGTCTCACATTTTTACTCTACATTCTTGTGTAATCTTGGAGTAGTTTCTATAAAGTTCCATGTCTTCCTCTGTGAAATGATGATAACACCATTCACTTGAAAAGAATGTAAGGATTATATATGCAAAATACCATCATAGCCAGTCAGTAAAATATGGTGGTAGTGTTGATAATGATGGTGGTGGTGGTGGTGACAATGATAATATTGGTGATAATGGTGGTGATGGTGATGGTGGTAATGCTGCCTTCAGGAATGTTTCAGAACTTTTTAAAAGTCAGTAAAAGCTTTCTTTAAATGAACTCTTACAAGGAAGACAATTTAAGACTCAATAAAGAAAAGTTGCTCAGATTTTAAGGAGTATAGGGCATGAAAGCATCTGCTCATCAATCCTATTCCCTCGTCAATTGCCCACCTTTGTGACCCCAGCAGTTTACAGTGGAACATTTAGCATTCAGTCAAGCACAGAGAACACAAAGAAATGCCAAGATAAATTTTGCTTACTTCAGATCTAAGGGAGGCTTAATATTTCTGGGAGGTAGACTTGGGACTTGTGGTGATTGTGCTGGATGAGATGTTGGCAATGGCGGCTGGCTGGCTGGATGGGGTGGTGGTGGTGGTGGTAGGGAAGATGTTGCATATGATGTTGGGCCCTTGCTGATACCTAAGAAGCAAAGCAAAAATACCATGAATTAACATAAATATTCAAAACATAAGAATTGATTATTCCAAGTGTACAGAAATGAAAATCTTAAAAATGAAAATATAATAAATGCAACTGAAGTTGAATTAGTGCTTTATGCTAAGTATCATGGCATGTGATATTTTACAGACTCCATTTCTTCTCCCCTCCATCTTCAATGAGAAAAAATTGACTAATAAAATTATAGGAATTTTAAAGTATATAATATGGTCATTAAACATAAATATATATTAGGAAAGGCTACTCCCCATCAAGTCAACACATTCATAGACTGACATATTTACTTTTTTTTTTTTTTTTGGTGAGAACATTTAAGTTCTCTACACTTAACAAATATCAATTACATAATACAGAGGTAGCAACTATACTGACCATGTGTTACATTAGGTAACTTGGACCTTATTTACCTTATAAGTCAAACTTTGTGACTTTTTATCACCTCTTCCTATTATCCCTACCCACAGCCCCAGTAACCACTTTTATGCTGTTGCTATGAGTTTTATTTTAAAAAAGTGGTATTCCGCATATAAGGGAATTTGTTTTTCTGTTTAGCTTATGACACTTAACATAATGCCCTCTCAGTTTATCAGTGGTGTTGGAAAATACAGAATTTTCATTTTTTATAAGGATGAATAATATTCTATTGCATATGTAGTCATATGTTGTTTAATAATATTTTGGCCAAAGATAGACTGTATATTCAATGGTGGTCCCTGTGGACTATAATAAAGAGCTTAGGTGGGTAGGTGTACATTTGCCATTACATTTTGAGTCTCTGACAATATTATAGAAAAATTCTGCATTATTATCTTAGTTTCATTTTTATCAAAGTAATACAAGCTCAGGAATTAGCAAGATAGTGACAAAAAATCTAAAAATAGTAAAAATCAGTAGTCTTCTGCTCTCCCCATTGGAGGCAATCACTTCCAACATTTCTGATGTTTCTTTTGCATTTACTTCCAAATCTGTCTATCCATCCATCCATCCATCCATCCATCCATCCATCCACCCATCCCTCTCTCTCTCTCTCTCTCTCTCTCTATCTATATATATATGTCTATGATTTTTATAAAGACTGACTTTCTATTTGGTAGATAAAGATTTTTGCTTTCCTTCCCTTATTTTTCCATTTAGCAAAAGCATAACTTTGCTTGTAAAACCTCTTTATTAAGGATCATATTCTTTGCCTCTCACTAAATATGATAATTGAGCTCTTTGGTTCCTGCCTCTACCTGTCTACACCAAACAAACAACATCAGCACAGCAGCTCCTTAAGTTCCTCAATTACATTAACCAATAAAACCTTTAAAAATCTTCAAAACCTTTAAAGGAAATATAGTACTTTACTGTAAATTTCCTTAGAGGATCAATGGTAGAGTTTTAAATGACATATTATACAAAAAGTTTCCTAATTTCTTGTAGATATTTCTGCTTCTTTCCAAAGTTCATTACTTACAGTAATTGCTAAAAATATCACCCTCTCTCTTCATGCATTCCCCTCACTATCACAGTCTTCTGGGAGATTTAAAAATTGCTCAGACTGCTCTCCTGTCTTGTGACATACCTTACTAGGTGTGGTTCCCACAGGAAGAGATTGTCTTCTTTTTTGGTAGCTATTTTTTTTCAGGGCTGAGGTAGGGAACATTCATTTCCATATAAATTTAATAAATAGAAATTTCTAATTGATTACATATATGGTAGAAATATATGTCCAATTCATCAATCAATAATTTCTTTTACGTATAATATCTATCATTAAAGTTATGTTTAGGAAGGCCTTCCCTAGTCTGAAATATAGAATTATTTATCTAATATTTCACCTACTTCTCATTGGCTTCATTTTCTACATTTAACTGTTAAAAACTCAGTCATTTATTTTGAAGTTAGAAGTGAGATGGCATAAATCATTTAACAATGTCCCACTATAGTTTTTTTCCTAATAACCTATTTACTGATTTGCTATATCTCTTTTAGAGTAGAATAAACATTTAAAACCCTAATGAATTTGATAGACGAAAATGACATCTTGTTATTTTAATTTATAAATAATATGGTTTGATAGATACTTAAGTGATTTGAAAGCTGTACACAAGAGGGTAAGCTACTGGAAGTAGATGTTAATAAACCATTGTCCAAATAGAAGGAAAAATACTTATTAACCATTTGTGATACCTTTTCATAGAAGGGATTTTGACAAGCAGGAGGAATACCATATGAGAGTGTTGTGAGGCTTGGGGGTGAATCATAGCCATGGTTTGGAGAATGAAGAGTCCTTTGATTGGCAACACTGAAAATGGACTTTCCCTGAAACCCATGTGCTACCTTATCATCTTCATGGAGACTTGATGGAATTTTCTGACGTGGCATCTGTGCTGACCCTTGCTGTTCTGCTTGCCTGCCATCTAACCTCCTTTCCCTGGGCGTTAATACCGAAAGCCACCCAGAAAGAGGCCTGCTGGCTTTTCCACAGGACTTAGAAATCAAAGAGGGTCCTTCTGGAACTGCTGGGAGCCACCTCCCTCCTCCAGGAAAGGGCTTGCTCCAGAGAGCAGCTTAACCTGGGGAAAGCAGGCTGAGAGATAACAGAGGGACTCCTTAGATTTAAAAGAAAAAATACTTTTGGAAAATTGTCACAGATGATGTGAAAAGCTTAATGAAGTATTAAGTGCATTGTTTATGTGTCATGTTACTGATCAAGTTTGGGAGAGCATTCACTAAATTCTGCCTACATTACATTAATATTTAGCAGTGAATCATTCTGTTTTGTAAAACCTATGGTCACTTTCAAATACTACAAGGCATATAATTGTATATACACAAGATAATTATAAGGAAAACCATCTTAGTTTTTTCAGGGATAAAAACATATAGACTTGCAACATAATTGGCTCTGAAATCTTAATTTGGACTTTCTAAAGTATACTAAAATATAATTAGTAATATGAGAATTATCAGAAGCAAACATCTAATCTATGATGATGGAAAGAAGGGAGTGGATATAGAATTAAATTAAGTAAAGAAGAAACAGAAACAGTACATTTACAGGAAATTTCTGAGATTAACTATAACATGAATTAATCACAAATTTTTACAAATTAATCACCGATTTTTTAAATCTTTAGAATCACCCTTTTGGATATATGCTATTATCTGGTTCCCATTCCCAAGTTCAGAGAGTTTGTAAACAATAGAAGTAGAGTTTAAACTCAGTCAGAATTTGACCTGCTGGGCTTCTGTTGACTATGCTCTTTCTGCTCTGTTTCATTACCTGTTCTCAAGGTAATGAAATGAACATATTGGTAAGTTCAAATAGACATTCACACACATTCCTAGATCTGCATATAAGTCCAGCCTTCTTAATTGATTAACTTTCTTCTTAGTATGCTTTTGTGCAACTGCTATTAATTTCATGCTGGGCAGAACTGCCTCTGGAGATTGTAATCTGCAAATAAATTCACATATATGTGCTTCAGAATGTGATTCTGGAAGTCAGCAGGCAGGAAAGTAAGCCCTGAGGAATTAGTGGAAAGTAGGCTCCCAAAGATGGAGGCCCAGAGAGGAAAAAATAGTCTCAAGAATGGGTGTTGAGGAATTTGAAATAAAGTCACAAAATGTTTTAGAATATATGAACTAAATTAGAGGGAAAGGACAAGTTTAGAGTTCAGTTGGCATCAAGAATTAGGGATGTTAAATTTGAGCACTAACAGTCCAAACTGATGTATGTACCTACGGGTTTTATTCCTTTATTCCCTAAGACTCAGAGGGTATTGCCTAAATGGTCTGTGGTTTCAAAATATTGGAACTGAAAAGATGACTTAGAATTATTTCCTCAAAGAATGAACGACTTGTACAGAGACGTGGGTCCCCAGAGCAATGGACAGAGCTGTTGTCCTGGACATTGTAGGATGACTCAGTGGCTATGGGCTAATCAGTTGACTTTGGAACTTACTGCCCACACTCATCCAAAGTCAAATTCAGGACAATTCCTGCGTATTTTATCAGGAACTCCAGGTTTCTCGAAGCGGGTAGTAGACATTTTGCTAACAAGTCAAGTGGGAGGTCAACATATCTTTGCTATAACATTTGAACTTTCACAAGAGAAGTTAACAGTTTTGATAATAAAATTCCTCACCATAAAAAAAATGTGACTAATGGTAACAATTAAAGGGAACTGACTGTACTTGTTTTAGAAAACAATTCATACTGGTTACAAAAAAATGGAGAGGGTTAACAGTGAGGGGAGAGAAATGACAAATCCAGGAACATGAGAACAGCTCTTAAGACTCTGGCAAGTTAATGACCTCCTATTCTAACTTTTTCTCCTCTTTAATCTTGGAAGTTCAGAAGAGGTCTTGCTTCAGTCATGTGCCCCTGATCAGGCATGCCCGGATGGGTGGGACTCTGGGACCATTTTACCAGGAGGAAACGACTAGGAGGGGCCCTTTATGAGTCAGAGGCTGCCTGGGGTGATTGGACCCTGCCCTGAAGGTAGGTCTAGGTTTTCAAACACAGGCAACCTCAAGTGATTTAGATCTTTATGATCTAAAATTCTATAAGCAGTAAAACAGGATTGAGAGGAAGGAAAGAAGGGTTGGGGAGGAAAGTGGATGATTAGAGAAGACACAATGAATTAAGATAGCATTGTAATTATACAGAGTGGAATTTGTACTATTTCATGGCTTTGCACCTCACAAAATACTGGTTCCAGATATCGTCATAATACTGGAGTAACACAAAATCTACAAAAACTCAGGAAATCTAATCTCATAAATTCTGACCCTTGTGACTTTTGACTAAGAATGCACCAATAGACTTCATGTCCCAAGAGGTCTAAGGAGCATCTCAAATTATGGTTCTCAATTTCCTTTTTAATCTGATCTCTTTATAAAGCCGAAGACTATATCATCTTGCCCCCAATTGCAACCAACTCTGACCCTGGACTAGGCATTTCTAAATTCTGT